CTCAAAGTCTCCAATGTCCCCATTCATCCCAATGTCCCCATTGACCCCACTGACCCCACTGACCTCAATGACCCCATTGACCCCACTGACCCCACTGACCCCATTGACCCCAATGCCCCCATTGACCCCAATGACCCCACTGACCCCACTGTCCCCACTGACCTCAAAGTCTCCAATGTCCCCATTCATCCCAATGTCCCCAATGACCCCACTGACCCCATTGACCCCAATGACCCCAATATCCCCACTGACCCCACTGTCCCCACTGACCTCAATGTCTCCAATGTCCCCATTCATCCCAATGTCCCCATTGACCCCAATGTCCCCATTGACCCCACTGACCCCATTGACCCCATTGACCCCAATGACCCCACTGACCCCACTGTCCCCACTGTCCCCAGGACGCGGACGCCCCGCCCCCCCCCGGGCTGACCCCCACCCTGGCCATGGCGGTGGGGACGGCGGCGTTGGGGTCACTGCAGGTCGGATACCACGTGGGGGTCATCAACGCGCCCCAAAAGGTGGGGATGGGGACGGGGGGCCGTGGGGGGGTCATGGGGGGGCACACTGGGTTCCCATTTAGGGGTCCTTTTTGGGGTTTCCATATGGGGTTCACTTTCGGGTTCCCATTGGTTCCCATTGGGTTCTGTATTGGGTTTCATATTGGTTCCCATTGGGTTCCATATTGGTTCCCATATTGGGTTCCATATTGGTTCCATGTTGGTTACCATTGGGGTTCCCATAGATTCCCATTGGGTTCCATATTGGTTCCCATTGGTTCCCATTGGGTTCCCATTGGGTTCCATATTGATTCCCATTGATTCCCATTGGGTTCCATATTGGGTTCCATATTGAATCCCATTGGTTCCATATTGGTTCCCATATTGGTTCCCATATTGGTTCCCATATTGGTTCTCATATTGGTTCCCATTGGGTTCCATATTGGGTTCCATATTGAATCCCATTGGGTTCCATATTGGTTCCCATATTGGTTCCCATATTGGTTCCCATTGGGTTCCATATTGGGTTCCATATTGATTCCCATTGGGTTCCATATTGGTTCCATACTGGTTCCCATTGGGGTTCCCATAGATTCCCATTGGGTTCCCATATTTGTTCCCATAATTGTTCCCATTGGGTTCCATATTGATTCCCATTGGGTTCCATATTGGTTCCCATTGGTTCCCATTGGGTTCCCATTGGGTTCCATACTGGTTCCCATAGATTCCCATTGGGTTCCATATTGATTCCCATTGATTCCCATTGGGTTCCATATTGGGTTCCATATTGGGATTCCCATATTGGTTCCCATTTGGGGTTTCCATGTGGGGTTTCCATATGGGGGTTCACTTTTGGGTTCCCATTGATTCGCATTGATTCCCATTGGTTCCATATTGGCTCCCATTGGTTTCCATATTGGGTTCCATACTGGTTCCATATTGGTTCCCATTGGGTCCCATTGGGTTCCATATTGGGTTCCATATTGATTCCCATTGGTTCCCCTTGGGTTCCATATTGATTCCCATTGGTTCCCCTTGGGTTCCATATTGGATTCCATATTGAATCCCATTGGATCCCATTGGGTTTCATATTGGTTCCATATTGAATCCCATTGGATCCCATTGGGTTCCATATTGGGTTCCATATTGAATCCCATTGGGTTCCATATTGATTCCCATTGGTTCCCATTGGGTCCCATTGGGTTCCATATTGGATTCCATATTGAATCCCATTGGGTTCCATATTGGTTCCCATTGTGTTCCATATTGGGTTCCATGTTGGTTCCCGTTGAGTTCCATATTGTGTTCCATATTGGTTCCCATGTTGGTTCCCATTGGGTTCCATATTGGGTTCCATATTGATTCCCATTGGATCCCATTGGGTTCCAAATTGATTCCCATTTGTTCCCATTGGGTTCCATATTGTTCCCATTGGATCCCATTGGGTTCCATATTGATTCCCATTGATTCCCATTGGTTCCCATTGGGTTCCATATTGGTTCCCATTGGTTCCCCTCGTTCTCCCGCCATCTTGCCTCCCCCTCACCGTCCCCCCCCCAGGTCCTGGAAGATGAGTACAACGCCACGTGGACGCAGCGCTGGGGGGAGCCGCCCCCCCCCTCGGCCGTCTCCACGCTCTGGGCTCTGTCGGTCGCCATCTTCTCCGTGGGGGGGATGATGGCGTCGCTGGGGGTGGGCCTGGTGGCTGAGCGCCTCGGCAGGTGGGCGGGGCTTCCGGTTGGGGGGGCGGGACTTCCGGTGGGCGGAGCTCGTCTGGAGCTGATGTGCTTTAAAGGGGGCGGGGCTTCAATAGGGGGCGGGGCTGGCAGGGGTGGATGTGGTTCCAAAGGGGCGGGGCTCCAAGAGTGGGCGGGGCTCGAGTAGGGGGCGGGACTTCCGCTGGGGGTGTGGCTTATGGAGGTGTGGTTTCCGGTGGGTGGATGTTTTTGGGGGTGGGGATTCAGTGGGGGGCGGGGATTAAGCAGGGGGCGGGGCTTCAGTGGGGTCATTAAGTTAATTGGGTCATTAGGGTCGGTGGGGTCATCAGGATTAATGGGGTCGTTGGGATTAATAGGGTCATTGGGGTTAATGGGGTCAATGGGGTCATTAGGGTTAATGGGGTCCTTGGATTTAGTGGGGTCAATGGAGTCAGTGGGGTCATTAGGGTTAATGGGGTCAATGGGGTCATTAAGGTTTAATGGGGTCAATGGGTTTAATGGGGTCATTAGGGTCAATAAGGTCAATTGGGTCAGTGGGTTTAATGGGGTCATTATGTTTAATGGGGTCATTAGTGTTAATGGGGTCAATGGGGTCAATGGGGCTAATGGGGTCAGTGGGGTCAATGGGGTCATTAGGGTTAATGGGGTCAATGGGGTCATTGGGGTTAATGGGGTCATTGAGGATAATGGGGTCAGTGGG